TTTCACTTCAATTATTTTTAAGTGCCTGGAAAATGTTATAAATCTGGGCCACATATATAGATCTAAACATTTATAGACACATATATACATATATATATATTGATGCTTGCACGCACACACATTCTAGGCACTTATATGCCATCATTAATCAATTTATAAATCAAATCAAAACGCTTTCATTTTGTTAAGCCTCACACTTTATAGCACAGGCACATACAATTTATAGTCTATTTGTGTAAATGTATTGTATGCAGCGTGTACCGCAAGTAAACCTTGCTTTCTAGTATTTACCTTATATGGATGGCACTAAGCAGCTTTTAGAAAATGAAACATTTTCCTTTACAAAAATAAAATTTATTTAAGAAAGAGATTTCATTTGTATATCTGGCACATGTATTTGTATATATGCTCACATACATATATATGTACATATAAACATTTGCTCGTATGATTGCTGGTCACACTACGCAACGACTAAACGAACAATCAGCAAAGAAAGCTTATCTAGCTTTGTATATGTGTATACATATACATATATATATATATATATACATATATATATATACATATATACACTTGTATACCTTTAGCAGTGAGATTTTTGGTGCGGCCAAGGTCGTTCTAGTATACGCCATCAGCTACTTAGCGTATGAATGACAACAAAAGCTTTATCATCTCACACAAACTCATACACTTATACATTATAAACCCTGAAGCCTCAGCATTTCTAACAAGCATTCCGGCGACCATTATATATTATATTAAGGATTTCTAAGCCAAATGGTTGCTTGTTGTGTTTTGTATCTTTTTGTTTTCGCTTTTCTTTTTTCGTTGCCTTTGCGGTTGTGTTTTTTACCTCATTTTTCTATCACGTATTGTGTTTTCTTGTTTTTTTGTTTTTGTTGTTGTTCTTCTTCTTCTTATTGTTATTATTATTATTATCATTATTATTACTGTTCTTTTTAATGGTCGCCTTGATGTTTTGCTGCATTATAAACCGTCAAGGTCCAGTAATCGATTGTGTGTCTTGTTTGATTGAAAGCACTTTTACTTTCCGGAGACAATGGTTGAGAGTTCACTTTAAAGGATAATTTGTTATGCATTTTTTGTTGCCAATAACAAAAGTCAAAACAAGGTGTAATTGATTACTTTTTAAACTACTCGTTAAGATGCATTCTTGCAAAAAATGAAACCAAAAGGTCAGCTATATACGGAAGATATATTAAAGCTAACACAGAATCTCGATTAAGCAAAATGAGTGAAAAAGTTCTATCTTATGCTTGGTAGAACTTCAATACAGCTACCATCTCATGTCAATTTGGAAACATTGCAAGCTTTTTTGTTAACTGAAGGCGTGTCAATTGATCGATAGATACTTTTTATAAATCGTGACGTACAGGTAGTCAATGAATAAAAAGTCAGAGTTCCATAAGGCGTTATAATGCATTAGAGCTTCTCTTATATTTATGATACACAGAGAGACGCCCACATCTTATGATACTAACGCCATGACACCTTTGTCATACCTATCAGCTCACGTTACCATGTTTGAGGAAGGGCTCAACAAGCATGCATTTACAAACGGCAAAATACGTGCCTATGACTACTTTTAATATCAGTATGGCCTACGTAGCGCACCAAAAATATCATGGAATACCCTTAGACGGATGTCCTATTTGGGCGTACCATGTAGAGGTTCAAAAGCCCAACATCCCATTTGACGTGTCATTTATAAGCGAAGACACAAATCATCGGTAACTGGCAAACTGTACTCAGAATAATATTAATACGAATACCTTTTTACACGATATATACGCAGACCAAAATGACATCGGGTAAAAATAATTGCTCACCGTAAGGCGTAAAAAAAAAAAACAAATTATAAACGACTAAATTGTCGGTAGATATTTTTGTTTTGTTATCAGGGCATGTTCAATATTCGTGTAACGCGGTGACGGTCAGAAAGAAGTAAGGAAAGGAAAAGAGATAGATATAGAATAATCGGTAAATGTTATGCCTTTCCCGGCCGAGTGCTCACTATTGCTACGACCAGCCTAGACGAGCTGAGCTTGAGATCTGCATTTGCACTCACGGTTGCGGTGGTCATTGCTACTTATTGGGCTGTTCATTGCGGAAAGGCCTAACTGTACTTATATTGTCACACGGAAATTACTACTAAAGTGAAATCGTGTAAAAATAATTAGTCGCTAAAGCAAATTAACAATATTTAGAAGCGAAATCGGAATATATCCTAATAAACAGTTGTTGGTTGTTCCATGCCGTAGGTGCAAAAAGGTTGGCAAAGTTGAGACTCTGGGCGAATTAGACAACAGCATCTGTTCGCTTGCACCCTTCATATGATTTTTCCACTTTAATCTTCGATCAACACGTAAGCCAAGATACTTTAAACAGTTGTTGTTAGGGTTGCTATTGCCGTTTGAAAACAGTAAAGGACAAGAAGCCTTAAACCCTTTATTAAATTTAATAAGTTTTCTTTTTTTATGAGTGAAACTTTTTTAATTATTATTCATCTCATCAGAATTTTTCAGCCCGAAATTTCGGTATCTTTTAAAACTAATTGAATTCTATTTATTATTACATTAACGCGAAAAGAAAATTCAAAAATCGAAGAATATTGTTCGCTTGCTTAGCACACACAAGCAAGCATTTTATAAGTTAGTTGCGACAGCTGCCAAAACAATCATAGAAAACACTTCAGTTTTATTAACCATTCTCATCATGAAAAGTTTTTGAGAAGTAAAGTTCAAAGAAAACAAAAATGATTCGTTTTATAAGAATTAAAACCATTAAAGAGAATAAATACACTTTAGGAAAAATGCAATCTTTTTACAATACACTCGTGAATAAGAGGCAAAACAGCGTAAGTGCACTTTCATTGTTTAAAAGCTTTCTATCTTGAATTTGAAAGAATTAAAGCCAGAATTGCTTCTAACTTATTGCTAAGGAAAAGCAAAGCCTTTCTTTTGCATACCATCGAAAAGTTTAGGATATGATTAGAAAGACATTTCCGACATCTTGCAAAGAATACACATTTTTGATTAGTGGAAAATTTTAAATTGATTTAGGCATATCCGTCTGTACGTCCGTTTGCCGTAGACTTTCTCCTGATAAAAATAAGAAAGTGCCAGTTCGCAAACGCAGGCTGATTTTGAAAATGGGCCGGGTCCATTAAGGGACACGACCGTAGTACAACTGAAAACAAAGTGAGAAGCAAAGTTTTGAGCAAAACAAAATGACGCTTTTACTCGTTACTTATTACTCCTTGCGTACAACAAATAGAACGGCGAAAATACCCTTCTTTGCGCTAACCGAAAGCATCTGCAGAAATTGAAAAAATGGAGGCGAGCCCATCCTATATTGCAGCCTATCGCGACTTAATTTCTACCGCTTCTTGGTTTTTTAAATCGAGTTGATTGCTGCAATTGATTCAGCCAGCCTTCAGGATGAGGGTTATATTCACTTTGTCAAAATGTTTCCAACGCCCCGAAGGAAGTTTCAGAGACCTCGCAATGTATATATCTCTTTAATCGGCATCAAATTCTGAATGGACTAAAGCATGTCCATCTGTTCGTCTGTGTGCCTGTCCGTCTGTCCGCCTGTGCAATGCCTGTTGTAGACATACTCCTGGCCGTAAATATGAAGATATCGCCTACAAATTTGAAACAAAGTTTGGAAGCGACTTGAACTTCTCGAAGGATACCCCTACAACGCGCCCATTCAATACTATAGAGCATCCAAATGTAGGTCTTTTCTTTTTTTTTTTGTATTTTCTTAGAGCAACGGCGATGGATATAAAGGATTCGGCAACGATCGTATATTTTTTTTTAACTTTTGTTTATTTCAATTGCTCGAACATTTGAAAGCTTTTTTCTATCCTACTCTAACACTTATGGCACAAGCGTACATGTGTGAAAAGTCACAGAGACTCACCTTTTATTATACCGATCGATTCAGAATCGCCGTCTAATTTGACTTACGAGTGTTTGTCCGTTTAGTCGCTTGCCCGTCTTTCTGTTTTATTTTCGTATGTACAACCTACATATGTTCTTCATCACCCTTAAATTCTCAACCGATTTAAGCATGTTCGTCTATCAGTCTATCCCTCTGTGTAAAGTTTGTGTCCTTTGGTCGGGAAAGGACAGCTATCTGCTTCGAATTTGGCGCAAACGTGGGACGTTCTTGCACACAGGCTAGCATAGAAATCGGCTACAATCGGTCAAAGGGCACCCTCGCAGTACAATATATCGTAAGACAACCTCTGTTTGGATACAACTTTGGAACAACAACAAGAGATACAACTATAAAAATATGCATTGTTATGTTATGGGTGTTTGTGCAAATATAGAAAGAGTCGGACACGCATACTAAATTTTATAGAGTATTGAACTTTCCTTCCTTTGTCAAAACAGTTGCAGTCAACCTTTTAAAAGAAAGCTTCAGAGATCCTATAAAAACTACATAATATTAATTAGTATTATATCTGAATTATTCTAGGCACGTTTGTCTGTCCGTCTGTCGATATGTCTATCTGTTGCTGTCCTAAACATACTCATGGCCAGAGAAATGGATATATCCGCCTGAGACACAATATAACTTTCGACTCTTATTCTATAAAAATAGGAATAGGGAAAATGGGTCACGCCCACCTAATATTATAAAGTATGGAAATTGTGATTTTTTTTTTTTTTTCTTAGTTGTTCTTATAATAAAGGCAAGGAGAATAAAAGCCTCGATCGCAATCGAATATAATTTCCTTACATGTTTTTTTTTTCTTTTTCGACTTTTACATATGTTGTTGTAAGATGTATTATCTTTGTTTTTATACTCTCGGTTAAGTATATGCTATCTATGTGTCCATGGCTGTATATTGATTTTACAAGAAATATAAAAATTTTAAATTGTGCTGCTAGGCATTTAGCAGAACTAGCAGTCACTTACATATATATATATATATATAAAGCGTGTGTCTTATCACTTACCCATAAGTTTCATGACTTCTTTATGGCTTATGAACACATTAAGATATCCGTGCGTTAGGAAAGGATACCAAGCAACCAAAAGGATCCAATAGAACAACCAAAATTTTGCCATTTGTTTGCACAGCTCTTATCAACTGTAATCGAATGGATTTAAGCAATGATTTTTTGCTTTATATTTTTTTGGCCGGATTTGCTTTAAAGTTGAACTGAAAATTTAACATCAACTTGAGCGCACAATAGTGAAGTAAAAAATAGAGGTGAAAAATATATTTTAAGTAGGATTCGGTATACTTTGGCTTGTGTCCTTTTTTGTGCTTTCTTCTCTTACTCTCTTTCCTTCTTTCCGTTTAAAGTAAGTTTAAAGATTCCGTTTAAAATTTTTCACTTAATTCACAGCAAATGAAGCCGATGGTCAGTTTGCAATAACAGCCACAGCAACAGCAACAACAGCAGCAGCAGCAGCGTGAGCTTTAAATGGATGAATGTGTGTTGAGTTTTTGCGTTTTTCTTTTCACGTAGTTGTTGTTGTTAGTGGTGCTTTTTTCCTGATAGAACTGGCTTTGAATATAAATTCGTTTGATTCGTCGTAACCTGTTTTTATTTTCCTCCGAGTTTTTTGTGCTGATTTTATTGCGGAGAGATGGTCGCTCCTAGAAGAGCCTTTGGCCACATTAAATTCAGAGCAGTCAACAATTTGGAGTGACAAGCGTTTGCATTTTCTTTTTTAATTTGTTGCATTCTATTGCTGTTGTTGTTGTTGTTATTATTATCGTTGCCGTTATCGTTGTTGTTGTTGTTGTTGTTGTTGTTCTTGTTGTTTTTATACTTGCAGTAATAGCCCGGGAGGCAGTTAAGTTCAGTCTGACAATATGTGGTGGAAGAGAATGGCTTGCCTGCTGATGTTTGCGTAGCGGCAATAGTGCGGGTGCGGCATATGTTGTCTCGCCTGTCACGTGGTAGTCGCTTCGTTGAAACCTGTGCTTTTTCTGTGTGTGCTTGTAGCTGATATTAGGAAGCCGTAAGTCCCTCACTACCAGCATATTTGTGTCATTTTATAAAATTTGGCAGACTGCCTGACTGACTTTACCATATCATCAGCGTCGGCATCAGCATAAACATCAGCTCCAGCATCATCATAATCATCGTCCTCGTTATCCTTTCTCCACAAATACAAAAAATGCTGAACGCACAAATGCAAGTGAATGACAGGGTATATCAATGTGAATGTGTTTGTTTATCTTTTTGTTTTTTCTCTTCTGTTTGTTCTTTCTCTTTTCGTATACACACTCACTCACAACTCTGTTTGGCTTGCTTTAAAATAACACGGTATGGTGTTATGAATGCGGCTGTTGGTTACGACGGTCGGTTGGTATTTTTTAGTTATGCGTAGATACGGCCGTCCAGATGGGTGAATGTATCGCTTTGGCTCATACTCGCGTGTTCGTGCGTTGCCCAAAAATTCCTCAAAGAATTTTTTTTGGTTTTTTCGAGTTTTTTTTTGCTGTAATTTTTTCAGACGTTCCTTTGTATGTTGTGTGTCGGCCTCGATGACCGGCTGTCAGCTTTGCTTGAGCTATTGTTAAATAAAAACAAAAAAAAAAAACATGAAGAAAAGAGAAGAGAAAGTAAGTAAAAATGAGGTGTTTTTTTTTTTTTTTTATTGAAAAAGTCAAACTTAGTTCACTTAAGTCCAGCAACACTTCACCAGTTAACCAGCCTCGTCATCGTTGTCTGTGATGACGATGCTACATGCTGTGATGTTTTGTATATGAATGTGGCTATGTGTGTGTGTGTGTGTGTGTGTGTGTGTGCACTATTAAGGATATGAGCCATCGGTCGTTAACTAAAGTCTACACGTATACGTGCGTACTGCCTAAAAGGAGTAGCTTTTCGGTCTGGCTGTCAGTCTGCCTTTTCGGTGGGTGTACACTCAGCTATAAGTTAACACAAATGTATACATGTCTACGTCTCGGTTTATTATAGTGAAAAGCGTTCGTTCGCTTTTGTGTTTTTGTTAACCCCAAAAAGTAAAAAATAGAAAAAATAGGAAAAAAAAAAAAACATTTTCTTTTCTGCTTTTGCTTCTTCTTTCTTGTCCGTTTTACTTTTTTGAATGCTGTTTGCTGTTAAACAATTTATAAATGTTGTTTTAAAAAGTTCTTGAGAAAGTAATTAAAAGTTCGTAAAGATTAACAGTCGTTTGAACGCAACACGCAACGTATGCCAGTGGGTCATGCAACTTGAAATTTTTATTGTTATTGTTGCCCTTCGCCACTGTTGCTGTTAGCTTTGCTACTGTTGCTATTGTTGTTGTTATTGTTAGAACTGTTATAATGTTGTTATATCTACTTTAGAAACCAACGGGTTAGCAGTTCTCTGCGTAGCCTCTTGCTACTCAACTTTTCCATTTTGGTATTTTTTTTCTTATATTTTTTCTGAAAACTTTACCGTTAATGTAGTTTTCGTACATAATTGAATAAGTTTTACGCGTAAATTATAATATATATGAACTGACAACTGACCTATTAAGGTGAGCATGTCTTTCACTTTACCAAGAGCTAATTTTTTTTTATTTTTGTTTATTGAAATTCGTCTAAAATAGTTTTCCTTTAATAGTTGTGTGGAAAAATTTAAAAATGAAGAACTTTCTTCATTTGTTTCGAAAATTTCGCAAAGAATTTCAAAAGTTGTTTAAAATTCTTCAAATTTCCTTTTTTCTCGTTGCGGTCAAACAATTAAAAAAGAACGTTTAAGCCTTAGTTTGGAATGCTATACATCATGTAATCCATGTGGTATCGAAATAATTTTTAATTAGTTTGCTCCTGATGACTTCACGATGCAAGTTGATAAAGCTTTGGGTGCGTGGAGCTTACGAATCAATCTCAAAAACAAAGAAAAGGACGAACGACGCCTTGGAATTAAATATTCGGTCATTCAAAAATTTTATATACTACCGCATGGCGGCAAAAGTAACGTTGAAGCATTTTGACCTCTTTGAAGGATTCTTTCGACTTTTCTTTTTTGTTTGGACACTTAAAGGAGTTACTTACATAAACATTACCTGCCACCCTGTGATTAGTGTGTGCATTTAGATCAAAAAGCAACAACTGACTGCCTGGTAATATGCCATTAAGAGTAAGGCAAACTAAAGCAGACAGTGTTGGAAAGTTTTCCGATTCAAGATGGCCACAAGTATTCCCTTAGGGTGGATTGTACAGATAGCACACTTTCCTATTTCTTTCCACTGCACTTCTGTTTATTCCGCAAGATTGGGAAGAACAAAAGCGAGATACATAGATCCGTGTAATTTAAAAGAAAAAAAAAAAAAAACTCGGGGTCGGGTATAAGGAAAAAATGTAAACAACCTGTAAAACAGTAGAGAAAAAGACGAAAAGGGAAAGGATCGGAGACAACAGATATACAAGGTCGAGAAAAAGAACGTAACTATATCCAGCTTAGAGCAATAATTTCGACGATTAGCACCTCCCGCGATATTCAATTGCATGAATGTGCAGCCTTCCAGCAACCAGCTTTGTTCCATTTATCACATGTCGCGATAAAATATCGCATTTTAAAGACAAGAATTTTACTTTTAAGCTCATAACTGATCAAGTCTGAAAATCAGGATTCCGAGGTCTTAGTCACGACACGGGCCGTAGACAAGCAGATATTGGTAAATCGATCCGGTATTCACTCTGATCAAGATGTATATAAATGGCTATGTATAATAATGTGTATATATGTAAATATGTATGTATAATAATGTATATATGTATGTAAATATATAAATATATGTATATATTTTTGTATGTATGTTCACATAAAAATTCGATATAGTGCGCTTTTCATTTCCTGATAAGCACTTAAACGTGCTCCGGCAAATATAGAAAAATTCATTATATATTTATACCAGGATGTGACAATATTAGCATCCTTTTTGCAGGGAATTATCATATGCATATTTTTCTTTATTAAAATATTTGATCATCTTATTGAGAATAAAATTCCCAAGTCATTTATTAAAATCTTAAACTATGTTGCTAAATAAGTGGTCACTGAATTATGAATGCCATGAGGTTAAATCTTTCAAACGTCATCCTAGGTTTCTTTTTGCGATGTTAAAAAAAAAAAAAACCCGGTTTCTTAAAACCAAATAGTAGTTCGTATTTAAATAGGCAAAGTCGTGAATAAATTCTGATAATTATGTCGTATATCTCTGCTATGAAGAAATAATTCTTTTAAAATGATTGGCAGTTGATAGCAAATTCGAATAACAGTGGCAGGAGTAGTAGTAGCAATAGGAACAACAATAGCACTAACAGGAATGTTAGTATCGATAATAGTGGTATGCAACTTCAGCAGTGACAGTAGTGAGAATATCGCTAGTATTTGTACTGCCTGCAGCAACAGTTTTAATACCTATAACATTACGGCATTTCTGATAATAGTAAACAGCAGTAATAATAAGAGGAGACGCAATAGTAGTAAACAGCGTAGCGTATTGATAGTGATAATAGTGGCTGCGGCAAAAGCATCAGCAGTAGTAGAAAAAAAGTAAGAACATTATAGTGGAGCACGGCCGACTATTAGATACCACCGCGGCTAATACGGTCGTTCATTACTTTCATCCAAAGGCATAGTTTTCGTGGAAGGACGCGTATTGGAGGAATCCTTACATGCGGTGGTATTCAAAGCATAGATCTACGTGGTTCCAACTCGATGAGGTTGATTTCTATGTCAATTTAGTATGATGAACTAGTTTTCACCGTGAAAGATTCAGTTTTCGTAGGGACGATTGCATGAGAGAGAGTTCAACAAATCGCGTCAGCCGAACCAAATTTTCTACATCCATGTAGAATGTCCAAATACGATTGCAGAGCGAGTCTTGTCGAGAAATTTGGAAAATTGCAATTTTTTCGTTAATGGGGAGTGGGCGAAAAGCGAGCCGGTATAAATTATTTTTAGTAGCGTTCGTCGTTGGGTCAAAGCACGTCAACGTACGTAATTTCATCAAAATGGCTTAAATATTGCGATTTGTAGCTTAAACATAAATTTACATGCACACACATCAGACGGACAGAAAGATCGAGGGACGGATAAGTTTAGATCGATTCGGAACATGATTTTGAATTGATCGATATAATAAAAAGTGGGGTTATCTCAAGCCCTCCTGCGTGTTGTACACGTGCGCACAAGCTTAATATACCCTACAGTGCAAGTGGCGTAAGGTATAGATAATTTAAATAGCAATAATTGTAATAGTACTGATGGTTATAGCAAGAGCGTAATGTTATACTATGTACGTACAATATATATAAATATATACACATTATGTTATTTCGCACATTGTAAGGCACTAGTATCAGTGTACTAATAGTAGTAACAATAGTCATAGTAGAGCTTTGATAGTAGTTTTAGTGGTAAGAGTAATAGTAATAATAATAGTCATAGTAGTGCTACTAATAGTAACCATAGTAGTAGGAGTGTAGTAGTTGTAGAAGCAAGAGCAATTAAAAACCGGTAATAGTAGTAGTACAAGTAGTAATCACCGCAGAGTAGCTACTGCTGGTAGTAGTAATACGAATAGTCGTCGTGGTACTAATCTACTTCAAGTATAAATCCATAATGACAATGGGTATAGTACTATAACAATGTTGCGTAGGGGAAATAATATTAGTGGCAGTAGCAAATGCGGTGGGAGCGATGGGAGCAATAAAAACAATAGTGTAACAATACATTGTTTGTGTATCCTTTTGTAACGCACGCATCGAGTGAGCATCGTGGGACTCAACTAAATTTATTTCAACTTTGTATCTTTCAGGCGATTTGACGTAAGGCAAGTTTCAACGAACCTGCTCGGAGCTCTACAGCCGACCTTCCAACAGCTTTTGTATCTGCTCGTGGGTATCAAAGATACTCCGTAAGTTGAATGAAACTTTCCCTTGTACGGATGTGCACAGCTCTCAGCAAGACTTTAGATATATAAAATGGCTTTTTATTACACCGATCAAATCAGAAGGATTTTATGAATCAATCTAACCCTGTCTGTTCGTCTGCGCGCGTATTTGTCTTGTTTCCTTTTGCTCACTCTACAAAACGCAAATTTTTGGAATCTTTTGATAAAATTGGGCACACTGACGTGTTTTGGGTCAATGGCGAACTCCATTAGAAGATGATTCGAATAGGGCTACTTCGTCGACCACTTCCCGTGCAAAGCCTGAGAAAGAGGAAAGGAACCGGCTCTGTTGCAACGAAATAAGAGATGTACAATGATGATGATTGTGAAATTTGCTGCATAATCTAAGTTTTCTGCCAAAAAGTCATAAAAGACTGGCGTGTATGGCAAGATTTGAAAAATTTAAAACCAATTGTGGCCATGTTAACGAAAGATTGCAGCTTTCGGAATCTTGAGGATTCGAATAGCACACACAAACAAACTGATGGATATTTAATGCTTGCATTTTCTAATAGTAAATGTGAAATGTGTATTGTAAATATATATACAAGTTCAGAGCAGATGGAATTTGATAACATAATTTACATTTGATATTTACTTAGGAAATGAAAACAATA